GCTAACCTGGTGTCTATCAAAAATTCCTAATGATTTCAGAGATGGCTTTTGTTTTCCAACCTCTTTTTGGAATGTCTGTGCGAACTGAAGAATTTTCTTTGGTTCATCTTTTTGACTAATTTGGTAATTTTTCTGTATGGTTTTCTCAAAAACTATTAAGCACTTCAAAGATACTTTGACAGAAGACTTGGAAGTTTCACCATCATATTTCGATGCTATTTCAATAGGATATTGAAACTATCTTGAAAATTCACAAAAACTGTCTCGCGCTATTTTACTTTGGTTTTGTTTTTCTCAAAAACTATTAAGCACTTCAAAGATACTTTGACAGAAGGCTTGGAAGTTTCACCATCATATTTCGATGCTATTTCAATAGGATATTGAAACTATCTTGAAAGATTCACAAAAACTATCTCGCCCTATTTTACTTTGGTTTTAAGGGTTTTAACTTTCCACTTTGGATATTTTCGGGAAAATAATTGCCTAACTGCTTTTACATTTTCATCTCTTTTAAAGGAATAGCACCAGAATAAGATTTTTCAATATTTATTCTCTTCATTAGATTTGTCACATCTTTTTTTCAAAAACAAACACTTAAGTACCTGAAAATACTAATTTTGCAAGTTAATCTGGTTAGAACTGGCGTTCATTCAAATACTGCATAGCTAAATTTTATATTTTTATTTTTTTAAAAATTGAAATACATTTTATTCAGTTTCTTTGTTCTTTCAAAACACTAATGTATCTAAATTTTCTGAAATCATTTCATGATGTTTTAGCAGAAATGTATTTCCTGGGCTGTTAGTATTACACTCTGGTTATTTTCTTCAAACTGAATTTAAATCCAATTTTTAAAAGGCGTCGCAATACTCGGTAATTTTACAATAGCGAGACAATCATTCTTTTCACACTAAACATGCAGCATTGAAAAACATTATAATGTAGAATAAATACATCAAATTAACATTTCATTAACTAACGTTAATTGCATGAGAATGTCGCATCAAACGGACAGTACAAAGAAACCCGTTAAAGTATTTCTGAAAAACAAATTTTAACATGATTGAAGCCAAATGCATTTTCTTCTCCAATTTGTCTTTAGAAAGGATTGGATTGGGTTCCGGCAAAGCACACAAGGGCTAAGTCCTAAAGGAAAGAATCCCTTTGCTGGAATCTGTCTTGACTTCACGATACACGTGAACAAAGTTGCGAACATTTCTCCGTCATTGCGTTTGCCGGGATTTCAACCCGAGTCTAATTTCCAGTTTCCAGTGATTTTGCCACTCGGTCATATCTTGCCTGCTACTAAGCAGGGAAATAACAATGAAGTTAAAAGTTTAGATACAATTTTCAAGTTATGTAAATCTAAATTTCTGGATTGAATTTTTAAATAACTTGAGAACTGTAACTTATTTAAAACGGCAGATTTTGAAAGTACTTAAACTGAATCTATTTAATTAATTATTTAAGACTTCTCTTTGAGAGACATAATTTCCTTTCAAATTTGGTTACCAGAAGGATTTGAGGACTTCCATATCTAATTAACATTTTAACATGTTTCAAAAACTACTTGTCATGAAATTAGAAAACAGATAAGAAGAAATAAATATATAATGGCATATTTAGATTATTTACAATATAAGTTATGATAAAACTTAAATATGCAACAATAGATATTTGCACAATAAAATTAATATTTCCGCTGTATAATCAGCAAACTATTCACTTTCCATCGCAGAGTCAATCTAATAAGGCACATTTTTGTGGATCTCCAGAAGATTTGTAGATTTATAAGCTTTATTCCCGAGAGGGAAACAGGACAAATCAGCAATGCGCTCTGCGGAATGCCAAAGCCGGACTGCAAGCCGAACGTGCTTCCAATTACACCATGAAAGCAAGCCGTAAGGAAGGAGAAAATTCCCAACAACTTGAGCTAATAAGCAATTTAAATCGACGGTTTTGAGCTCTGATCAAAATTAGTAAAAAATGGTTGTCTTCCATTACACAATCCTTCAACATAATTCAATATTATTCCATTTCTATAAAGATATCTGCGCGAATACACGGAAAAACGTATTTTCAGAAGCTTCACAAAGGCATTGCATTTTACAGAAAACAAAAAGTACCAGAAAGAGGGGGGGAAAAAAAAAAAAAAAAAAAAAAAAAAAAAAAAAAAAAAAAAAAAAATGAAATTGAATCACATCTCTACAGTACTCGAGAGCAAAACGTAACCAATAATGCCAACTGGGAGAGAGATGAAAAGATTTAATTCATTATATGATCATATTTTGAAATTTTAATTGTTCCAAGGTCCCTTAAAATATACTATACAAAAACGTTACTTGTATTTAAACGTACAACTGAAATACTCGTGGTAAGATCCACAAGTAGACCAGCTCTCGATTCTAAGCTTGAAAAATTTCCTCTTCTCGTCAATGAGCTTTTAGAAGTTTTAAACTGATAAAAATTGCATTGTTTACTAAAATTTCTGACTGATATTAAGATAACAAATGATATCGAAAAATTTTCACTTCAACGCTCAAACTTATTTTTTTAACTTATTTTTATTGTTTGCGCATTCTAAATTGGTCTATCTACATTTGTTGCTTCCCTTAACAGTAAGTAGTACTGCACTACGACGTATTTTGGGATTTTACCTTATTTTCATTGCCTAAGAATGAATTACTTCAAAATATTTTCAATGTTAATGAATAAAAAGGAAACAAGCGTTTGAACTCTAAGGAAAATTCAGCATTAATTTGACATGGGCTTTAAAAGGTCTTTCTCCCCACCCTATGCAGTTTCAGAAAAAGGGATATAGATCTTCTTCTTCAAAAACAGAAATATTTTGATCATGTTTCAAGCTATTGCTCATTTCTCAATTTTTACATTGAAATTACTTGAACCACGTGAACCATTTCCAATTTATTTTGACGCGCCAGTAATCTCCATTGATCTGATACAAAAGGCGTCCTATGGCATATGTTGAGGTTTTTAAGGAACTTAATAATTCAACGGTAGACCGAGAAATTTTGCACGCTTTTTGCTGATTGATGAACGGTTTTTAGTTTTACATAAAAGCTTTAAACGAAAAATTGTTACGTTAAGAAAATTTGCAAAATCGTTTAAAAGTTAAAAGAAAACAGTACCTTTTCCCAAGTTATAGTAGTTGATAAACCGGTACAATCAGTATCATGGTATTTATTAGCGCTTAATATATATAATTTTTCCCCTGATCGGCTCTTCGAAGAGCATAGTACTTAGGTTTTCGGACGAAGAGTAAAAATATGCTTATTAGGTCCAAATTCTAGAATAAATTCAAATAATTTCAGAATCCGTTGAGGAAATGAGTTCAGAAAGCAGCATTGGCCGATTTTCAGCAAAACGAGTAACAGATGCGATTATAACGCCTTGGCATTTACACTAGCCAGTCTAGTTGTGTGAGACATTGTAGTTATTTCGTTTTACTAGCTAGGCCTGGGAGCCCCTTCCTCCGGTGAATTCACTAATTACTAATTTACTTTAACTAATTTACTAATTTACTTTTACTAATTTGAAAGATTTAGCAAGAGAAGGCATACCATGTCTAATAGCTGATAAAACCGTCTGTGGAATAATGTAAAAAGCGGTGGCTTTCTTTGTGACAGTGACAGGCGAAGATTAGATTAATTAATTGATTAAAACAAAGCAACTAGGAAGCATGTACCTATGAAAGGTGTGCCTTCGGGGAGGACTTTTTAAGGGAAACTGACTCATATCGACGTTGCACGCGCGGAACCACTTTTTGTAAGGTATGTACGTTATAAAATGTAAAAAGTTTTATGCCTCCTTATACAAAAAGAAAAAAAAAAGTCATGGTTGTTAGCGTGCCGTATGGCAAAGTACAAAACAAGAAAAATGCTATACAATATGAGTGTCAGGATGTCCTAGAATTCCTACATATGTGTGAAGATGTCAAGTTTATTTTTCACATTAGAACCAATATCTGTATTATCCAACAGAGTTATGCTTACCGTCGTAACAGGAGACAAGAAAGTTTAATGCGAAAAAAAAAATATCAATGTGGTAATGAGTTAAATAGAAAAGTGCTATCCTCTGGATCGCTTTGGAAATCAATATTATTAGATGACGATCTTCAGCTTATGAGTATCATTCATTTCTACTAATGTGGAAAATTGTGAAAACCCGTATCTTTAGGCGCTATAAGTTGTCGCATGTGTTGAATGATAATAATTTAATAACCTTGCACAACGACTTATTTTCGTTAGCAACTGCAAAATAATTATTCATGTTTAAATTAAAAGTTTTTTGCAGTCTGCGAAAAATGCACAAGAGTAGTCAGTGCAGTTTTCTTAAAATTCGTTGGTCTTAAAGGACATTTCTTAAAATTCATTGGTCTTATTTAAGTTTCATTCCTAAAATAATCTACTTTTTGGGAATATGTTAAGCGATAATTTATGACATTATGTGTGAAATGTTTTATATCTAGATTTAATTAGCTCTAGATAATTACTGAAATTCTCTTAAGCAATCTCTTGGCAGAATTAATTTAAAATTGAAAACTAGTTGTAATTTTTCTTCCATTACAGTAAATTCTGGATTCAACCATGCCGAAATATATCTTTTTAATAAATACACCAACGAACTCAAGGAATTCTTTTGTTTACACTTCAAAGAAAATCAGGCAATATAGAATAGGAAAGAAATAGCAAACAGACATCCACACGAATAAAATGCGAATTGCGTGATGCTTTACAACAGCTGTGGTTAAGTTAGAAAATGCCGTCCATAAAACTGTTGTTTCATCTGGAACATAAAATTTCATAGAAGGTAGGAAACTTAATTATCCTAAACTTTATATTTAGCATTAAGTTAAAGAAATTTCGTGATATCTCTCTTTGTTTCTTTTAGACATAATAAGAAAATTTAAGAAGAGGCACAGATTGAAGATGTATATCGTTTGTTTTAATCGAGTTTGCGCAGGTTTACCAAGATCAGTAATAACATATAACATAAGTTGAATTTTATGATTCAATTACGTGTTTTGAAAACATGTCTATACGCATCAGCTCAAGGAGATGGAAATCATTTACTCGACAAGAGAACGATTTTAATATTTCGCTCAAGAAACATTCAGGCGTAAGATTTTGCTGTGTGGTAAGTCCCGAGGGTCTACTCTTGGAAACTCATCTTTAACATTTTTTGACTGAGTTATTGTTACTAAGTTTTATTTTCAGACTTAAATTTTTATTTACCTACTTTATGTTTATATCGAGGAACAGATGAAGTTGCAGAAAGTGTTCGAAATTTTCATCGGTGCCTTTTTAGAATAAAAGAAACGGAAAAATCAATTTTTGTCAATCATTCGCAATATACTTCGGTAAATACAATAGAATTTTGACACTTTTTGCAGAGTTCTTTGCTATCACGAAAAAAAGCTCAACACAGATTATTGGACTTGTAAAAGATTTTTTAATTTTAAAATTACTTATATTTACATTTATTAATTTAAACATTAGAATGTAAAACAGTTTTCAGCAAAGAACTCAACTGGGATTTCTATCGCAAAAATAATTTTAGTTTTAATTTTTACGAAAGATGAGAATGAGATTAATTTTGACTCGAATTCATATTTTAAAAAGTGTTACTTTAAATCTGAGATAATTTAAGGCTCTGCGTTTTTCTCTCCTAAACATGAAATAATGAATAATACTTAAATAATAAACATGAATAATTCTTTTGTATTACTAAATATTCTCAACGTTTCCATGCAGAAGATAGAGTTATATATAGGTAACATTTTCTCACTACCAACTACCAGTTTAACGGTGATTTTTGAAAGAATACGAAAAGATTAATTTTCAAGAGACCAGCTTTTGCTGGTTCCTACATTTTGTCAAAGAGTATTGAATTGTACTCTTGCTGAATTATTTTCTATTTAGGTGCTAGCATTAATTATAGGAAACTAAAGAGCGTTCCTTAAAATACTTTCGTGCTCTGAATAAGAAACTGAATCAAAAAAAGATTCAGTTGCAAGGTGACATTTCAAAGAATATACTCAAAGAGTTGAAATAAAATAGGAAAAAAAAATGAAAATCGTAAGAATAAAAAGGCAATTTCTATATGATCTTGCTATAATGACTTCAGCTTAACTCTTGGAACAGTTTTTTTTAACTAAGCAACTTCGTTAGGCTTATTAGTTAAAGAATGAATACCAGGGAAATTAAAGGTAACAAAGCGTAAAATTTTCTGCTTAAAAATGAGCTGTTTAAAATGGCAAAACTAAATGGACGATAAAAATTGCTGTTATATTAGTCCATCGTAAATGAATGCCACTGGAAACATATGCTCTTATTTAATAAAGAAAACATTTAACTTAACATAAGACTTAATTGTGCATTTATTCTACTGGAACGACTGCTCCCGAAGCTTAACCGATATTTTTTTTCAACTGATACTTCACATATTGACAGGAAGAGAAATCCGCGAAATGAAATCAATAAACATCTCAAAAAGTTTCCTTTCCGGTTTAAAAAAAAGACTACAAACTGCCTTTTGTAAAATACAGGGAAAAAAAAGAATCTGTTTACAAAAAAATAATTGCTTGCTATTCGCAGAGATTTCGTTTATTCTTCCTTGGAAAATTTGCATTTCATTTTTAGTTCCGCATTTTGGGAGTGAACTACTTGCATTTCTAAGCATTAATATTAGTTCAGATCTTTAATAATTTCCTTGCAGAAAACAGAATTTATGCTGCCTTGTTTACGAAAATTCTTCATAGTAGAAACGTTTATTATATTAAGATCACAACATTGGAATTAGTTATCCTTGACCTGCTGTATGAGTGCTATTTTTAAAGTTCAGAGACTTGTTATCGACCTGTTTGAAAGTATTTTCTCCCTACGGCAGCGATTGCTGGGGTATATACGTTTCGTTTGTAGTTTTAGATCAGAGGAACCTCCCTGTAACTCGAACTCTTAAGTTTCTGATACGTGTTTAATCTTTTACAATTGCCGAGTGTTTAATTTTCGTACTGCAGCTGAACAGATGCTTCACAGCGAAATACGAATTCCATTATTAACTCCCTTTATTTAGAATCATATTATTTCTTCTATAAATATAAGGTATTGCGTCGTATCATTTTATTTTTCAATGAAAATACGGTAAATTAAAATGAAAGAAATGTTATTAGTTTAAATTTAAGGATCATAAACATTCAATACACGTGTATGTGTGTATTTAATTTAATTATGGCAAAGCACACGAGGGCTACCTGCCTAAGGGGAGGGATGCCTTCGTGGAGGACTTTCTAAGGAAAACTGGCTCGTATAAACGTTACACATGGGGAAAACCACGAAAACACCCATGCGGCCAGCCCGTCGCGGGATTCAAACCTCGGACCGAACTACCAGTGTTCAGCGACTTTACCGCTCGGCCGCTGGTGGGCTTCAATACACGTGTACAAAGATACATTAGTTATTTAAAGAATGAACGTATTTGGTTTCTTACCCGTGCTGCCTTTTTGGTTTTGCATAAATTATGATACTAAGTTGAAAATATCAGTAACAGAAGATTCCCCCCCCCCACCAGCAGATTTGGAATCATAAATTGTGCTGATGCTACTCATTTCTGCAGATGTATTTTGTTGTAAATGAAAATCATAAGTAAATATATTTTCAACTAAAATTTCTTATGCAAACCATGAGATTTCGTGTTAGTCACTGTGATTCAGAAAGTAATGAGAAAGGACATGCCTTAACATGGCTATATATTTGTTTGCTTTACTATATTGTATATGTATGGGTCTATTGAGTGCACGGGACCGAAAAGTCAAATTTGGCATAGTACACATCTCACGCTCTAATTTGCATTGCTATTTGATATTCTTATTGCTAACATTTCTCTCAGTGCTAGAGATATCCTTTGATTAGCATTACAGTAACATTCTGGTGCATTTTAATAGCGAACCTACCAGCGGCCGAACATATAAAATTGCTGGGCTTTGGTAGTGCGATCCGTCTTCACATTCCCACGAATAGGCTAGTCACATGGACGTTTCATAGCTTTTACCATGTAATATGAACATAAACCAATTTCCCTTACGCAGTCCCCTATGAAAACATTCATCTCTTTAGGCAAATAGTCTTAGTGTCCTTGTCGTAATTTAGTGAATCAAAACGTATATTTTACTAGCGCTGAAATTCCCTCCTCTTGTTACAAAAATTTTGTAAAAATACTCCTTTTTTCCATAATGTTTTATGGAATTTCACTCCAACAAGGCATAATAGAATATATATCATTTTAGGTCATATATTTGTTGTCTAGAGGAAACCAAACACTTCTTAATACTACAAGGAATTAAAAGTACTTTTCTACGGCATCTAGTGCATTTGTGGTACAAAAATACTGTATTTCAGAGATCTAAAGTTGGACTCCGGGCAAAGGCACTTCTTCTGCAATATGTCATTTCAAAGCATCTTTGTCACCGAACTGTTATACTTCAATTTAAACAGCATTCTTGACTTTTTTTTACAAATAGGCATTCTAACCTTAAAGCTTCATACAAATTTTATTTTTATTATAATAAAGAATAGTTCAGCGCGTCATGAAAATGTAAGATGTTTTTCTGAGTTATATTGTTTAATTTTTTTCGTAATATAATACTCAAATTTTTTACTTTTTATTCCTAATTTTGAACGACAAGCATGTAAATCGTTCTTGTTTTAACATTTTTTCTCTTTCAATGCACCATTTATCTACTAACAGTAGGAGAAGTGTTTAGGTTTACAAATAATTTCTACTCTAATTTCGATGTTTAATTTTCTGTCTGTTAACTTAATCTCGGTATCTGATACTTGATTTGATTTTTAAACTCTGCGTAAAATATGGTACTTTGAAATTCCAATGAAGAAGAGAAAAACTGTGAAAGAAGAGATTTATATAGAAATATATCATTAAAGGGGTATCAGAAACCCCTATATCGACAATGTTAAATTGGCCAATTTCGATGTACCTTTTCTCAAAATCTGCTGTAGATACAAGCTTGAAATGTTTGCAATTAAAGTATACCTATCTGATTATACTGAAATGAGCTTTTGAAGCATTTTGAATTTTAGAGTAAATTAGACTATTTTGTTAGGCACAGTAAAATTTAGCACTTTTCTCACACACACAAAAAAATTATTTTTTTCTAAGTTTATTACAAAAAGTTTATTTCATTAAATATTACGGAACCTAATAAATAAGCCATAAAATGTTTAGATACCTGTGAGTAGTAGTTCCTGAGAAAAGGTACATCGAGTATAAAAAAATCACGTTTGGAGAAAACGCGTTTTTATGTAAAATTCCTCATTGATCAAAGCAGTAGATGACAAATTAAAACTAGATTTTTTTTACAGTTCTAATTTTCATAGAGATTAAAGAATGGTATTTTTAGAAAGATAAAAGTGTAGAGAATTTGAGAATGCCAAAATCCGAAATCACAATTTTTTGAAGATTTTGGGGTTCCAACACCCTTAAAATTATAAAGAAATGAAATAAAGGGTGTGCAGAGATTAGGAGGTTTTAATGTGTAACTAAAAATTCCTCATAATTATGAACAGCAGGAGAGCAATTATTTTATTTCTTTTCTTACGACATAATATATCTTTTTTATATGCTTATATGACACAAATATTCCTTTTTTCTTTAAAAATTATACAGAAAAAATCACTATAAAGAGGAGTAACATTTGATTTCATTCTGTGAATTTATAATAGATCAGTAATATAAAACTGTAAATTGCATTATTATTATTATTTTTTTTTGAGATATTCAGCCCAAAGTATGTTCGCTGTTAGCTGAACATGGAAAGCTTAATGTTTCGTTTTAAGAGGCAGGAATTCAAGAATTACTTGAAAGTGTTAATATCATGGTAGAATCGCAAATTTAGATGAAAGCCTAGGTGCAAGCCATGGTAGAAATTTAGATGAAAGCCATGGTATAATCGCAAATTTAGATAATATTACTAATGTTTTCTACTTCGTTAGATAAACAAGCTGAGTAGCATAAAAAAGTGTATAAAAATGCCGTCAATTCAATATATTTTAGAAAATATATTTTCATTTTTCTGAAGAAGATGTTAAATAAAATTATAATTTGGCATTTAAATCCTAATC